GGTCTATTATATTGGGAGAACTGTTAGGGAGACAATGAAACTTGTGATTGTAAGTCACCTATTTGATTAAAAAACATTGCAAATAATGCATGTTGTTATTTATATAAAATCATAAAGAGAAAAAAAAAAGATACAACCACACTGATGCACTTAAGTATATGTGAGTATATGTATACAGAAATTAACTAAAATTTTTCTAAAAATGAAAGTCCTAGTAGTGGAATTAGTGGATCAAAGGACATGAACATTTTAAATTTTGCTACTGCCTGGTAACCCTCCAAAAAGGTTGCACCAATTTATAGTCCCACCATGACTGTGAGAATTCCCTACAAGTTCAACAACTCTGGGTATCATCAAAATTGTTTTAATCTTTGTCAATTTCATGTTTGAAAAATGGTATCTCATTTAAAGTTCTTTTATTTCTTTAAATATAAGTGATATAAGTCTATGAGCCATTTGGTTTTTTTCCTCTGAGAACTACCTTCTAAAAACTTCTCCCCATTTTCTGTTTAGCCTTTTTTAAGTTGATTTGTAAAAGTTCTTTGTAGACTAAGGAAAATAGCCTTTTATCATAAATCATATAAATATTTTTCCAGTTTGTTGTCATTTTTATGCTTTTGCTAGATACTAAATTTAGAAAGACCTTCCCTACTCCAAAATTACTGGAAACAAAATCCATCTATATTTTCTAGCATTTTAATGGTTTCTTTTTTTTTTTAAATATTTTATCTATGTGTAATTTATTTTGGTATAAGGAGTGATGAGGTAAGAATCTAATTCTTATTGTTTTCCAAATGGTCGGCCATCTTCAAATCATTTGTTAATGAATCCATCTCTTCTTCACTTATTTGAAATGTCATTTTTTTTATCATGAACTAAATTTTCATATGTATCTGGGCCCATTTCCAGACTCTGTTCTATGGTTTCTACTTTCTCCCATAGCCTACATTTATCTGTATGCTAATCCTACCTGTGAAGGAGGGGGAAAGAGCACTGCTTCAGGAGGGTGGAGCCTTAGAGGAGCTAAGACAACTATCTTAAAATACCTCCTTATCATGGGGAAGAAAAATATTTCACCTGTGTACCTCTAGAGGGCAGTACTGCAAACAATGGGATGCAAGTAACTTAGGGACAGGTTTGAAGTGCCTCAAAATGAAGAACTTCCCAGAAATTGCACATACTCAACAGTGCATTGTGTTGCTTCATGGAGGTCTATACTTCTAGCCACCAAAAGAGCTGTTACATGAAGGATTCGTGCACTGGATAGGTGGCTGGACTTCTATGATTCTAAGATCCCTTTTTATAATTCTCATTTTATTACTAACCAAGCTATATATTCTGTAGATGCTGCAGGAAATAAACATATACTTTTTGAGAAAGTCATTTTGCCAACAAAGTAGGACTGAACTAAGAGAAGACAATTTTTCAAATCTTACCAATCATCATCCAGGATCTTCAAACGACCAGCCTTTACTTCGGACATGTCCGTGTCTGTAGTCAGGACAAGGATATACTTTTTAAAGAAAATCAGAACCACTTAGACATTTGTACATCCTTTATTTACCTTTGAGCAGCTTCTTCATTCTAAAGCAAAAACTTTTCTCTATGAAATGAGAAGTATTTAAATGCGTTTACTGCAGCCTTTTCCTGGATAGAGAAAACTAGAGATGGGGTGTACCACCCCCTCTTCCACCTTTCCCCACTGAGGTTCTTTGTAGATCAGTCAGAAAGCCCAAAGCACATGGCAGACCCTGATGTTAAATAACCTCAACTGCCACCTGTGATAAAGACGTGCAAGGAAGACCATCATTCGTTTATTAGCCCCCAGAGAAAATTTCTTCCCATTTTTAGGCTTTAGTGCGCACTATTCAGTCCCTAACCCAATGCTCTTTTGCCCGCAAATGTATTCCCACACCACCCACACACATCACATCACCACCGGCCCTGCCCTCTCCCCACATCTTCCTTCCCCCTACTTTCGCCTCACACCCCAAGAAAGTCTTCCATCCATCCCCCTATTCCCCCTGAGGATAAGGTCTTCCTTCCCACACGTCTCCATCTTCCTACTCCCATCTTCTGCCCCAGCCAGTCTTGCACCAATCAGGCCTCACTCTGCTCTTCACCACATCGGGCCCTCTACCTTCCCCACTCCCCGACCTTCCCCCTCCCCTC